AAAAAAAAAAAAAAAAAAACAAAGTACAGTGCACAGAGAATAAATTTTTAAATTAATTTATAGTCAAAAGTACAACCAGTTGTAACCTAAGCCAAAAGTTACAGTTGCATCAGATCTACTTCCTTGGCTCACCATCTTTCTAAATTCTAAAGTCCCATATTGTCTACGTCTACGACAATCAGCCACCACCCTCACCAGCAAACAGTTGAGAATGGTGCCATGTATTAATCTTATTAATTAAATAATTAAACCCCATTAATCCTTCTCTAATCCCCTTTCTTGATTACCAATTCTCTCTTATATACATCCGTAGTTCAGCTTGCATTTTCCCAATTTTTTTGCAAAAATGCCGGGTTTAGTATCTCTAAAATCTCCAGTGGAGGCTCCGCCGTTGCGAATCTCGGTACTCGATGAGCTACACACCCCGATCCCACCGGAACCTACCAGATCCGAACCCGCTAACCCGAAATCCAGCTCCCCGGCTCCTCGCCGTCCGCCCTCCCCTTCCCCGTCCACTTCACGCGCTAAGCCTTCTCTTGATCGGAGTTCCGGCAAGAAGAAATCGCCTGCAGAAAAGAGCCTTCTTGACGAATCCTCCCTCGAAAACCCGGATCTCGGCCCCTTTTTACTCAAGTTAGCCCGAGATACGATTGCGTCAGGCGAGGGTCCGAACAAGGCCCTTGACTACGCGTTGAGGGCAGCGAAAAGTTTTGAGAGGTGTGCGGTTGAGGGAGAACCGAGCTTGGATTTGGCGATGAGTTTGCATGTTGTGGCGGCGATTTACTGCAGTTTGGGGAGGTTTGAGGAGGCGGTGTCTGTTTTGGAACGGGCAATTAAAGAGCCCGAGGTGTCGAGGGGTGCGGATCATGCGCTTGCGGCTTTCTCCGGTTACATGCAGCTCGGTGACACGTATTCAATGCTTGGGCAGCTGGATCGGTCCATTGATTGTTATAAGGAAGGATTGAAGATACAGATGGAAGCCTTGGGGGATAATGATCCCCGAGTTGCCGAGACTTGCCGGTAAAACTTACCTTTACTCTGTCCATTTTTTAATGTTTGGAGGTCTTATTTTAATTAGCATTTTAGAAGTAATTAGGATTTGAATGAGTTTTGTTCTACTGAAATTAGTGTACAATGTGATGTTGTGTATAATATTGGGAGAAGAATAGATGGCATTTTGAATTTTCCATGCATATAAATGTAATGTAATAGAAATGCTTAGAAGAATCGAGTTTTCTTATCTTTTGATTCTTTTAATTTTTTATATGTCATAGCATTGTAATTAGCTTGAACATTTATTTGGAAATGGAACTATCAAATAGGGTTTGCATATGGAGAGAGTCCTGAATTTGGTTGGTTTAATATTCAGGAACATTCTAGCCTTTGTGGTGCTTGTTGAAATTGATTTGTTTGAGAGATGAAATTTTCAGCTGCTCTCTATTTGAAGTGTCAAAATTGAAAATTGCAGGTACTTGGCAGAAGCCCATGTTCAAGCAATGCAATTTGATGAAGCTGAGAATATGTGCAAGAAAACACTTGAAATCCACCGTGTGCATAGCCCACCTGCTTCTCTTGAAGAAGCAGCTGATCGTCGGTTAATGGCTCTCATATGTGAGGCTAAAGGAGATTATGAATCAGCACTGGAACACCTTGTACTTGCCAGCATGGCAATGATTGCCAATGGACAAGAAAATGAGGTTGCAGCTATTGATGTTAGCATTGGCAACATATACTTAGCCCTTACTCGCTTTGATGAGGCAGTTTTTGCCTACCAAAAGGCGCTCACTGTCTTCAAATCTTCAAAGGGTGACAACCACCCGTCAGTTGCCTTGGTCTTTGTACGGCTTGCTGATCTATATTACAAGACAGGAAAACTAAGGGAATCTCGATCTTATTGTGAAAATGCTCTGAGAATATATGCTAAACCAGTACCTGGAACTACTGCAGAAGAGATTGCAAGTGGGATGGCTGAAATTTCAGCCATTTATGAAATGTTCAACGAACCTGAGGAGGCTCTGAAACTTCTGCAGAAGGCTATGAAACTTTTGGAGGATAAGCCAGGGCAGCAGAGTACAATTTCTGGTATCGAAGCACGGATGGGCGTGATGTTTTACATGGTCAGGAGATATGAAGAATCACGGAGCTGTTTTGAGAGTGCTGTAGCAAAACTTAGGGCCAGTGGTGAGAGGAAATCAGCATTCTTTGGAGTTGTGTTGAACCAAACGGGATTGGCATGTGTACAGTTGTTTAAGATAGATGAGGCTGTGGAGTTTTTTGAAGAAGCTAGAGAAATATTGGAGCAAGAGTGTGGCCCTTGTCATCAGGATACTCTTGGTGTCTACAGCAATCTTGCAGCAACTTATGATGCCATGGGAAGGTAATACCATCTAATCTAGTATTCTCTCTGCAATTTTTCCTTGTTATCTTATAAAATTTTGGCCACTTGATTTCTTGGGGATCTAAGGCAAACATTGGCTAGAATTATTGAAGTCTCCCAAGTTAAAGAATTGGGGAGAATGGGGTGGATGGGATCACTTATCTATCAAAAGATTTTGAAAAATAAAAACTCATTGAAGTTCAATTTTCAGTAAAACTGGAATGGTCCAGAATTTAATTCCGTTGAATGGACATCCTTTGCAGATTTTGTCCATGGTTTTCATAGTAAAGTATTATATGCCATGACTGTAGTATATAGAGTTGATCTTTTTCATCACGTAGAAGATTCTAAGTGTTGACCACCTGTTGATGTTGTAGTCAACCTTGGTATGAGATGTTCATTATTTGATGTCATACTTATCATCTAAATTCCAGTTAGGGGCCAATTGGCTTCTCGAATCAAGAGTGTTTATAATTTAGTTTTATTATTAAATTCTTTGATGAGAAAATATTCAAAAGCTTGTCTTAAAGGAAAACCAATTGAAAATATATAATTGTCAAATACTTGAATCTGACCAAAGAAATAGGAGATGTTGTAAGCTATTAGGAAGTGAATATCCGCGTATATAGAGATAGTCCCTTGAGAAGTGGGGAGGGATGCCAGATGATTATTACTCATTTAATGTGATAAAAGCATCTGTGGCACCCAAAACCCCTTTGCAATTTAGGTATTCTGCATGGTGTATAGCCTGCTCCACCTGATAAATCACTTGTACTTCCATTCCCACAAAAGGAAGAAACAGATTTGGAATTTTGTTTCTGATTTGATCTTAGTCATCCAAAGAGATTCTAATTTTATGTTTTCTCACTTTGGCAATGTTCTTTGCCAATTTCACCTTCTGTTCCACACCATATAGTCATGTGGGGTGCTGACCCGGCATTGACACTGTTCACTGGAAATTTACAGAGTTGAAGATGCAATAAAGATCCTGGAGTATGTTCTTAAATTGAGGGAGGAAAAACTTGGAACAGCAAATCCCGATTTTGATGATGAGAAGAAAAGGCTAGCTGAGCTATTGAAAGCAGCAGGTAGGTCTCGAAACAAAAAGGCAAAATCACTTGAAAACCTTATTGACCCAAATTCTAATACTAGGACAATGAAAGAGACCTCAAAGAAGAGGTCTGCTTTCGGGTTTAGAAGTTGATTTATTATTGTTTTGTTGCTCTAATTTGTCACACAGGCGTATTCTGTAGCATAGTAGATTGTGTACAGTTTTACTTTGTAATTGGGATTTGGGGAGTTGACTTGTTCTCATGGGCATTTGGGTTGTCATCGTTTTTCCTTTTTGTTTAATTGATTATCCGTTTGTGACGTTGAAGATATTTGTGGAACAAATTTAGCCCATGTTTGGTACACATTAAAATTTTCATTTTCATTCTTCTATTCATTTTCAACCATATATTTTTCAATAAAATAATATTTTCCATCATATCAATAACTTTTCCATCTTTTTCAACCACAAATTCTCCATCAATCTACTATTCTGGAATACATTCTTCCAAAATAATGTGGATCAAACACACCATAAGTGAATGAATGATTAGCTATGGGCTCTTTTACGTAGATTTGTGATTAAATTATGTTCAAATATGTAGTTTTGTATGATCTATTAAATTCAGCCTCCAGAATAAAATAATTAAGAATGGTCATTTTGGAGTTATTATCATATCTTCACTTAAGTGTTATATTATCTTTTGGTATTCAATGTATATTCTTCATTTTTTGTTGCATAACTCAAAAACTAACGAAAAATTGCCTCAGAAAAAATGAAAAAAGATGCATGCTTCTGACGGAAAGATCGCTGAAACAAAGTTGATTTGACTTACAATTCTTCAAGACGTTCCAACTAAAAATTACGGAAAATAGTATAATTGATTCTAGCCAAACTTTGTTAAAAAAAAAAAAGAAGAAGAATGTGAAATATAGAATAACTACATTCAATACAGTACTACAGTGGGTATAGACGATCTAGGCTAGGCATGTTCAAACTCGTACTTTTGTTGAACCAAATGGGATTGGCTAGAGAAATATCGGAGCAAGGCACTTCCATTTATTTAAATGGGATTCAGGCAAAGATTCGCTACAATTCCTCTAAATTAGAGAAACTTGTCTATCAAGTTTTTGGAGAAAACAACTATATTCTGTTTGAGTAGAGGATAACTTGCTTGTAAAGTCAAACGCTGTTTTTCTTGAGAATATCAGCTACTTGTTATTCATTGGGGTAGAGAGCATATAAACCTGTCCTTCAAATTGCGATCCGCCTTCACATGTTTGGTAAGATTTTGTTCCCATGATTATCTAAAATATTTTCATAGGATCAGTTTTAGCTATAATAGTTCACAATTCCTAGAGCAATTAGTCACGGGCCTAGTGAACTCCTCCACCCATAAGGTACGACAAGATTGCTCATTGCGGGTTTAAAGTTAAATTACTGAAAAGTGAACTAATAATATCCCACATGTATGTATGATTGCAAGTTTCCTACTCTGATTTTATTGCGCTTATCTTATATCTTGGCTTGCAAACCCATGTGTGTGAGAATGTTGCCCTAGGGACTGTCGAGAACTCGATGGCCAAATTAGCAGTTCGTTACAACTGATATTAGAGCAGGTTTGCTCCGAATGTTGCCTTGTTGGTTGTGGGAGATTGATGGCATAGGTTCTTGCAAAAATAATTTTGGGACTGCTAAGACGAGACAAAGCCACGAGATATGTGGCAAAGCACAGTTGGCAAGCAAGTGAAATTGATGATGGTGTTATATTATAAACTGATTTATCACACACACAACAAATGAAATTTCAACAAGATAAATAAATAGTTAACCAGTCAACTTGTACATCTATTTGTCACCTCAGTAAAACAAAAGTATATGGTTTGGTTAAATATATAGGAGCCTTAACTCGTTTGTAACCTAGAATACATGGTCCGTTCAACAAATCCATGACAGATTTTCTTTGAAAATAAAAATTCATTTCTTGAATCTAACAACCTCCACATCAAGAAAATAACTTAGACGTAGACCGAAATCTTTGATTTCAAGCATTTCGTTAGTGGCCTTTTCAATCTTAAAAGTTCAACCTTGTTAAGAGGGGTTATCCAATTCTTTATAAATTGGTTTATATTTATATTTTTATTCGATGTGAGATTCTATCCCTTAACATGTCTCCGAAAGATGGTGGCTCGTTTGAGCAGGTCAATCTTGAAATCCGTATGTTCACTTTTGGAGTCTTAATCGGATCGAATTGCTCGTTAGAGTTTAATGAACTCTGATACTATGTTAAGAATTGAAATTCCATCTTAAAAGGTAAACCTTGTTAAGAGGAGTTACCAAATTCTTTATAAGTTGGTTTATATTTACATCTTTATTCGATATGAAATTTTATCCCTTTAACACTGCTAAAATAATATTATCAACATAGACTACAAAAATTGCTACCTTACCAACTGCCGAAATTTTAAAGGAAAGAATGTGATCCCTCGAATAACTCTTCAATCCACATGCGGACTTGAAAAGCGGACCCGAGTTCACTTTCAACAGAATTATTTGGACTATTGTGGTCAAATAGTAACCGGTTAGAGCACAAAACAAAATTCTTGTTAATTTACTCGAGAGTTTGGCGATCGAAAAATTGTTAATTTTGGGAATATCAAAAATCTATTTTTTGAGAAAAATCTCAATTTTATTTTTTATTTTCAGTATTAATAAATACTCTACCAATATATAGGTGGTTTGAAAAAAAAAAAAAAACGGTAGTTCTTAAATTCACAGACTAAATAGAATGGGTCATTTGTATTCAATTTGATTTAATGTGCACAAAATTAACTAACTGAGGTCCATCATACCTAAATTAATTTGGAATTGCACAATTATATATGCATCCGTTAAATAAACTTGTGAAACTAAATTAATTGCTTGTTAATTACATTTTAAACTTCTCATCAATCAGTCAGTCAAATTATTGAAAGATGTTACGGTCCATTTCTACCAAATAAAAGAAAGGGAAAATTACCTAGAACTCTACAATTAAATATTAGTTTTCATAAATAAGGAGGTTAGGTTTAAAATTCAAAATTTAGGTAGTAAATAGGATTATCAATTGTAATTAATAAAAATATAATTAAACCTTAATCTACATAATATCCCCACCATCCTACCCTGATTAATCCCAAACCCAGCCCCCTACTCTGTATCTCTTTCTCTACGGGTCACTCTAACCCCTAGGACGAAGTAGAACCATCGGAGAAAGAAGATATATGCAGCGGTTCGTCGCGCTGTGTGCTTCCCAATAAACACAAGATTGAATTTCCAAGATTTTTACTTGAGATCGAGGAATCATTATGGAATCCTCTAAATATGTATTTGATTTTACCCTTGGAGTCAACAAACCTATCGGCGAACGATGGATATCAATTGGATTGGAATTCAATCTTGTGTTTCGGTGTTATAATTTTTGAAGAAAAATGGCTAGCTAACAATTCTTGAACCGAAGGATGATTGTGAAATTCACTAAGTCACTCGAACGATTTAGTTACAACTAAATTCAATGGCCATGTCATTGAGTTGGCCAATAAATATGTTTCTGCTGTTGTGGATTTGCCATTGTAGTTGTGATTGCTGTTGTGGATTTGAGGTGAAGGTATTATTTATGGTTGTGGATTTAAGTTGAAGGTGGTAGTGGTGGTGGTGTTGTTCTACGATGTGTGCAATTTGTTTGTGGTAATCCTCTGTGACAAAATATGTATTTATTGTGATTGGTTGTGACCAATTCAATGTTGATTATGACTTGATCATATACGGTTATATTTGAGATTGACATGGCCACAAAAAGGCACACCGAAGACAAATTAGGTCACAATTAGTCATAGATAACACAGGTTAGTAACATTGTTACATACAGTCACAAATTAGACGATTACATATAGTCACACTAAAGACAAATTCGGTCACAGATAATCACAAATAACACTAGTGGCTTGGTTACATACAGTTACAAATTAGATAGTCAATACGGAAAATAAATTTGGTCACAGTTAGTCACATATAGTACATGTATGGTCATAAAACAAAAATCTGATTAGAGATAACAAAGTTAGTCACAAATTTGAGGTGATTTTGTGGAGGTGGGGTGTAATCTCCAAAAAAAAGTTTTAAATTTTTTGAAAAGGTTAGGATGGGCATGGAGTGGAGTGGAGCGGAGTGGGATGGGGTGGGAGTGTAATCTCGAGAAAATTTTTCAACTTTTGAAATTTTTTTAGGGAGGGTGGGTGGAGGGTTCGTGGGATGTTATTGATTGATATATTATTAATTTGGTGGTGTGGATGTGGATAATTAATTCCAATTAATAATATATTATTAATTTGAATTAACACCTAAATTTTGAAATAATTCGACAAATTTGTTAGTTTGAAATCTAATTCTTATATGTAGGAATTATGTATTATTTTCTAAAATAAATAAAGATGCTACATGTACATTTATTTTGTACATTAAGTTTGACATGACGTGTCAAAATTATGGATGTTGATTTGAATAACACTTATTCAAATCAATGCCCATGATTTGACACGTCAAGGGATGCTGAATTAGTAGTATAAAATGAATGTACAACTAGTTTAATTCTAAAAGAAAAAGAACAATTCACTAATTGAAAGGTCGAGAATTTATATAACTATGAAAATTAGGAAAACAAAATTTCCCATCTAAATATATTTACAAGTAATGCCTTTCATTTGGAGCATTTTCTCTATATGTAAATGCATGCTTGAATAATAAAACGTCAAGAAAGTAAAGGTGGCAGTGCCAAACCCATAAAAAAGAACTAGTTCTGTTCGTCCTGGACACTCGCGTGTTATGCTCTCCAAGACTTGTATAATACATATTTGACATGTTCGGTGTAATCAGGCATTTCACATATCAATCAATATGTATAAAACGAGTCGATGATAGAAGCATTACTCCGCGCATAATTGTCTACATAATTTTGGAATGTCAATAAAGTTTGTGTCCTCATATAGTTCTTATACTGATGAGAGAAAGAATATGTGAACTTACTCCCAGGGGCGGATGCAAATATTAAAAGTTAGGGGAGCATAACCGAACTTGCAAAAAATTTGGGAGAAATTTTATAATCGAAAATTTACGTC